ATGTTTTTTTTTTTCTTTTCTAATTTTTTTTTTTTTTTTCTCTTTTTCTGTCTTTTTTTCTTGTTTTTTTTCTTTATGTTTTTTTTTATGTCTTTTTTTTGTTTCTTTTTTTGTCTCTTTTCTAATGTTTCTTTTTCTGTCTCTTTTCTAATGTTTCTTTTTCTGTCTCTTTTCTAATGTTTCTTTTTTCTGTCTCTTTTCTAAAGTTTCTTTTTTTTTTTTTCTTTGCCTCTCTTTTTTTCTTCTTTCTTGTTTTCCAATTTTCTTTTTTTAGTGTCTTTTCTTTATCTTTTTTTTTTCTGTCTTTTTTCTAATGTTTCTTTTTCATGTCTCTTTTTTTTATTTATTTTTTATTTTGTCTCATTTTAATGTTTTTTTCTTTTTATTTCTAATGTTTTTCTTTTTTTTTTTTTAATTTTTTCTCTTCTTTACCTTTTTTTCACTTTTTTTCTTTTTTTTGTCCTTTTAAATTTTTTCAGTTTCAAATTCTTTTTTTATCATTTTTTCGTATATATTTTTTATTTTTTCTCGTCATTTCTTTTTTTTTTCACTCTTTCCTCGCTTCTATTTTTATGTCATTCTTTCTTTTTTTTCCATGTCTTTTTCTCGCCTTTCTTTTTATGTCACTTTTTCTTTATCTTCTCTTTTTTATGTCATTTTTCGCCTTCTTTTTTCATGTCACTTTTTGTTGCCTTCAATATTTATGTCACTCTTTCTCGCTTTCTCTTTTATATCAGTCTTTCTCACCTTCTCTTTTTTATGTCACTCTTTGTCACCTTTTTTATGTCACTTTGTTCGCCTTAAATTTTTACGCCACTCTTTCACACTTCTATTTATTGCCAGTCTTTCACGCCTTCTCTTTTTTATGTCATTTTTACTCGCCTTCTCTTTTTTTTATGCTAATGTTTCTCACTTTCTCTTTTTATGCCACTCTTTCTCGCCTTCTCTTTTTATGTCATTCTTTCTTTCTCTTTTTCTTTTTTATCTTCTCTTTTTCTTTTCTTTTTATGTCATTTTCTCTTCACTTTCTGATCTATCTTTTCTCGCCTTCTTTTTCTCATTCAATCTTTCTTGTCTTTTTTTTTATGTCTCTCTTCTCACCTTTTTTTTTTTTCTCGCCTTCTCTTTTTTTCTTTCTCGCCTTCACTTCTCATGTAACTCTTTCTCACCTTCTCTTTTATATCACTCTTTCTCGCCTTCATTTTCTCATGTAACTCTTTCTCACCTTCTCTTTTATATCCTCTTTCGCCTTCACTTCTCATGTAACTCTTTCTCACCTTCTCTTTTTATATCACTTTTTCTCCTTCACTTCTCATTTAACTCTTTCTTTTTCTCTTTTATATCCTCTTTTCGCCTTCACTTCTTTTAACTCTTTCTTTCTCTTTTTTATACTTTCTCGCCTTTTTTATATCTTTCTCACTTTCTCGCCTTTTTCTTCATGTAATTTGTAACTCTTTCTCACCTTCTCTTTTATGTCACTCTTTCTCGCCTTCACTTCTCATGTAACTCTTTCTCACCTTCTCTTTTTATATCACTCTTTCTCGCCTTCACTTCTCATGTAACTCTTTCTCACCTTCTCTTTTTATATCACTCTTTCTCGCCTTCACTTCTCATGTAACTCTTTCTCACTTTCTCTTTTTATATCACTCTTTCTCGCCTTCACTTCTCATGTAACTCTTTCTCACCTTCTCTTTTTATATCACTCTTTCTCGCCTTCACTTCTCATGTAACTCTTTCTCACTTTCTCTTTTTATATCACTCTTTCTCGCCTTCACTTCTCATGTAACTCTTTCTCACCTTCTCTTTTTATATCACTCTTTCTCACCTTCTCTCTTTTATGTCACTCTTATTCGCCTTCTCTTTTTTATGCCACTCTTTGTCACTTTTCTTTTTGTGTCACTCTTTCTCGCCTTCTCTTATGTCACCTTTTTATGTAATTTTTTTTCTCGCCTGCAATGTTCACGTCACTCTTTCACACTTTTTATGTCCCTCTTTCTCACCTTCTCTTTTTATGTCACTCTTTCTTGCCTTCTCTTCATCATGTTACTTTTTCTCGCCTTCTCTTTTTCATATGATTCTTTCTCGCCTTATCTGTATTATATCATTCTTTCTCACCTTCTAATTATATGTCACTCTTTCTCGCCATCTCCTTTTACGTCATTCTTTCTCGCCTTCTCTTTATGTCACTCTCTCTCTCTCACCTTCTCTTTTTATGTCATGTTTTATCACCTTCTCATTATTTTTTACTCGTTCTCGCCTTCTCTTTTTATGTCACTCTTTCTTTCTTTTCTCTTTCTTATATTCCATTCTCCGCCTTCTCAGTTTTTAATATCACCATTTCTCCATCATTTCTAATTTTTCCTTTTTCTCTCAAAACTCTCCCCAGCCCCCAACACCAGTAAAAAATTTCCTTAGTAACATTTTCTTTTGCAAATTATTTTTTCGTCTTTCTTTATCCGACTTTCTCCTCATTCGCACTCACTTTTTTTAAAACTCATCTCCGCCCTTTTGCCTCCTTTCTCAACACACGTCGACCTTCAAACTCTTTTTCTAAAAAATCTTCTATAAGTTCCGGCCTCCTCCTTAAACTGCGCTTCTTGTCCTTTAGTAATCTGCTTCCTTCGTTTTTATTTTACAGATCCTGGTCGACCAATTCCAGACAGGCCGAAAAGTTAATTTCGAATATTATGCCAACAATTCGCGAATAGACTTCCTTGTCAGCAGCGATTACCGGAAAATATTCATCTCTGTCCCACCTGAATATTTAATGAAAAACGAACGTACACACAACGCATCCAAAAATGCCATTACACTCGTATATATTAAGATTTCAAGGATTCGGCTAAATAATAAATATAATATCATCGTGAGAAAACTGGGAGAGAGTAACCATTTTTCGGAGGAAGCAGTACTTACCAATTGTCTTTCTGATAAGTTCTCCCCCTCTCTCTCTACACACACACATGCACGCATGTACCCACACACACACACACACACACATATATATATATATATATATATATATATATATATATATATAGATACATAGATACATACATTAATAGGAATATATATAATATAGTTTTTTATATATATATATATATATATATATATATATATATAAATAAATGGTCAAAAGTCCGACAATTATTTTAAGACATTTTAATGATTATACATTCTTTTTATAGATACAAATATTTAAGTAAATGCTCCGTTTTATAATAAAAAGCATTTACAACATTTACCGGCCTGAATGTCCGAGAAATTTTCATAGAAAATATTCGTCCTCCGACAGGAATCGAACCTGTATTCTATACAGAACCGTCAATTAGCCTGAAGATTGAAGTTTAAAGGTAGTAAATTTGCTAATTGAACGATCCTCCGTGGCTCGAGCGGTAAGGTGCATGTCATCCTAACTTCTCCAGGATTCGATCCCGCGTCTCATAGATAAATGCGTTATTAGATCTGACATGCCTTAAAGCAATTCGGCCACGAGCAACCTCCTACCACCAGCAAAAAAGAAGAAGCTCGTATAGTGCTTTTGAATACAAATTTTCTTCCCGATTCTCGGAGGATGCATATTTTGTAACATGATTTCTCGAATATTCAGTTCAAATTAGTTGCAAATAAATAAAAAATACTGTTGAATATATAAATTAAAACAGAGCACCTACTCAAATATGAGTATTCATTTAAAAAAATTAAAAAGTTTAAAAAAAATAAATATATATATATATATATATATATATATATATGAAATTTAATTTAAAGAAAAACAGACCACTTTAAGGCACCATTTGTTATGATTTATTTTACCAGAGAATTTTATTTTTCTCTGGATCTTCAGACTTCACTTTCAAAAGGTGAAATGAAAATTGAATTTAAAATTAACACTTGACATAGATGGTGGTGAGGATGGTGTGAGAGTCATGGTCGAGTTTATAGAGGGGAGGGAGAGTTTAAAATTTATTTTTATTTTATTAAAATATTTAATATTGAGGAGGAGGGGGTAAAGATCAGACATTGACCTATTTAATCGGTTCACTCAATGGAAATGATATGGAAAAAAGTGAAAAAAGGGGAAAAGGAAAAAATGAGGAAGTAAAGGGATAAGATATAAGAAATGTATGTAGGGGTTTTGGAGGAAGGGGAGGGGTGGTATAGCTTTAGCAATTTAAACACAGATTAAAATATATATATATATAAAGACAGATTATATATATATATATATATATATATATATATATATATATATATTTATATATATATATAATATCTATTCCTCACTACCTCCTATGTCAACTTATATTTTAATACTTATTTAATTTTGTTCTAATGGTGACTGCTACCTAAATACAATATATATATATATATATATATATATATATATATATATATATATATATATATATATATATACGTATGTGAGTGTGTGTAAAAACATATTTTAGAGTTGTGTATATTATTTTTTTATAATAGGCATAAAATATGATTGCTGGTTGTTTTGAGATAAATCAATTAGTTCGTTAGAAATATACATGTATATATTGATATTGACACGTGTTTTGGTAGAGCTGCAAAAGAAAGTCTTGAAGGGATACGGCATATAGAAGAAAATAGAATTCAGCGTTCAAAACTAATTTCTCTGTTCTTGTAATGGAAAAGGCGATATATGTAATTTTTGCCTTCTTGAAAAATTAGTTATTTTAAAACACTTAAATAAACCTAAACGTGTGCATTACGTCTATCTGGCTGTGTATTCGAAAAATCATAACGAAACCAAGCGGTAAAGCTCAACCGATCAAACGGTAGTTTCTCTTACAATGGTGGACGTAGGTTTGACTGTTTGCGACAGGTAAGTAGAAAAGCAAAATCAGAAAGAGACAATTGACATTTCTGGATCACATAATGACCAAAGAAGGCATGATAAATGTGACATTTACTTGACATACTAAAGGCAAGAAGGGACGGGGGACACTATCTAGGGATCTATAAAATGATCTTGTGTCAATGGATTGCAGAACAGCAAGGGAAAGTAAAAAGAGAAACATTGCTAAGAAGGATAGGAAGTTATGGAGAGCTATGATCGTCCACGCCCTGAAAGGGACATGACACATAGAAAGATACGGGGGTCAAGCTATCAGAAAGGCGATAGATCTTAAATTTCTTCATATGTATATAAACTGAAAAAGTTAAGTAAAAATTATGAGTAACTTTCTCTAATTAACCTTAAGAGAGTGAACTGAAGCGATATGCATATGAAAGACCGTTGCTATAGTTCTTAAATCTTGCTTGGATTAATTTCTAGCTCTTAATAACTTCATTGTTTCTTTTCCAGGTGAACTGCTACATTAGCAGATGATGTTCCAGTTTTATCAACAGTGCATAAGTCGGCAACTGAAATTAGGAGGGAAAAGGAGAGTCCTGGAGATGACCCAAGGTTTCGAATTCCTTCATCTGCTACTATCGAGGCAATCGTTTATCGCGTTCACTACATAATGATTGATGACACGCGATTCACTATGAATTATATAGACAAAGCTATTAGCATATCACGTGAGGGAGTTGACAAATTGTGAACTGTGAACTTGGTGGGCTGAAAACTTCATAGGCTGATTCTGGAGTGACGCTAGAGCTGTGAAATCTTGCAAGCATTAATTTTGACCCTACTGTTTCTTTCCAGGTAAACTGACATCAGACTTTTCAGAGAAGACTTCAGAAGTACGAGGATGGACTGAAAAGTTCATAAGGTGACCCTGAAAGAGTGATCATAGAGCTGAAATGACAGGCATTATTTTTTGACCCTACTGTTTCTTTTCCAGGTAAACTGACATCAGACTTTTCAGAGAAGATACGAGGATGAACTGAAAAGTTCATAAGGTGACCCTGAAGGAGTGATCATAGGGCTGTGAAATCTTGCAGGCATTAATTTCGACCTGTTTCTTTCCAGGTAAACTGACATCTGGCAGTTCAAAGAGGACTTCAAATATAACTATTAGCGACTTATCTTGAAAATAGACACTATTTGGCATCCCGGTCTTATCAGGTACCTACAGAAAAACTGTTTAGCTCCCAAGAACATTCATGCTGACATGGTTACTACATTAGGTGATGACGCTCCAACTTCATTAACAGTGCAAAAGTGGGCTAGTGTCCTCCGTCCCTCTTGCCTTTAGTATGTCATGTGAATGTCAAATTTTCTATGTCTTTTTTCTCGTTAAGTGACCCAGAAATATCAACTGATTTTGCTTTTCAACTCACCTGTCATCTCGATGGAGTAATAGATATCGGCTCAGATTGAGGAATCGGAAATGCCGTGTTCGAATTCCAGTCGAATCCATTACATTTACTTACCTTGGGAAAGCTATGAATGCTTTTCTTATCCCTCCAGCTATGGGTAAATAGCATGAAAGGCCGAGTTCTATAGCCTTGGATGGCAACTGGTCTACCGCAGAAATAAATGGCAACCTACTGCGGGAAAAAATCTGCCTAAGCGTGTATCACACATGTCATATAACTGACAGACTTACCTGTCCCATTAGATTGCAATAATTTATTTGAGATAAGTTAATAATAATTAAGTGATACGAGTTTTACTAATTAACCCATAGCTGGAGCGAGAAGAGGTAGATTCAGACCTTTCCCAAGGGTATTTGCGCGTAAAATGAATACAACGAACCTAACTGGGATTAAACTCTCTCGATTAATCCATTAAAGCACTGTTATTTCTAAGCAGTCACCGATCTAGGTGATGACCAGTTTCGACGTTGCTTAACTTTGGTGATCATACGGGACCAGGTGTGATGTGCCTGTAATCCCCAACCACACAACCGCAACCACAGATGGAATCATCAGACACAACCAAACGGAGCCTTCTGTATCGGCAGTGGCCTGACCTAGAGAGGGATGGGTTTCGTCAGGTCCACTTACCCAAAATACGCCAGCTTTCAGTTCACATTTTTGGAGTATAATTGGCCAGGTGCGCAACTTCGCAGCAGAACTACAATTCTCTTATGGGACTACTGGAGATGATGATGAAAATGATGATGATGATGATGATGATGTCACTAAGCCAATACACCTGGAAGGTGACTATTATATAAAAATCTTGTGCCATATTCAGTTTCACTGTCAGGACAAATAAATACC